TAGTTTATTGACTCTAAGAGTCTCATAGACTTTCCTGCCTAGGCTGGCTTTGAAGTGCAATCCTCAGATCTCAGCCTCCTGAGTAGCTAGGATTACAGGAGTGAGTCATCGGCATCCAGCTATACTTTTTCTTTGTATGTGTGTGCCAGTAGTTGTGCTTGACTTCAGAAACTAGGCATTATCCCTCAATTTTTTGTCTTTTGTTTTTGTTTGCTTTTGGCTGGCCCTGGGCTTGAACTCAGGGCCTGGGCTCTGTCCCTGAGTCTTTCTATGCTCAAGGCTAGTGCTCTACCACTTGAGACACAGCACCACTTCCAGCTTCTTTTGTTTATGTGGTACTGAGGAATGGAATCCAGGGCTTCATGGATGCTAGACAGGCACTCTACCACTAAGACACATTCCCAGCCCTCCCTCTTTTTTTTTTTTTGCTCAAAGCTAGTGCCCTATGACTTAAGCCACAGTTGCATTTCTGGTTTGAAGTGATTACATGGAGATGAGTTTTCTGTACTTTCCTACACTGGATGGCTTCAAATCTTGACCCTCAGATCTCAGCTTCCTAAATATGTAAGATGATGGATATAGAACAAGGCTATCATCTAATCTTCCTTAATTCCTTGAACACACACGCATGCAAAGGCACACCGACAGTATTTGAGCTAGTTTTTTTTCCCCTTAATATTGTGAATGTTTCCCCATGTCAGTAATTACAAAGTAGCATCAGCGTAGAGACTGATATCCTTTCATAGAGATGACTTGTGATATATTTAACTAGTACTCCATCATTGAGTGGTGGAATGAATAGCTGATAATACACATCTGACCATAGGCAAAGAGAGGATGTGTAAATACCAGAGTATGTACAGGCTAAAAAGAATTAAGGCATGTATGAGGGCAGTTGAATAGTTTACTTTGAGGTGTAGGCAAGAAGAATGGAATAAGACAATAATCATCTTTGAATTGAGAAGGAGTTTTTTAAGAGGCTAGTTATTTTTTAAACACTTTATTGTATCGAAATAAATCTTCATTTAAATCACAAGTCCCATTTCAAAGCCGGGAAACTGAGGCACAGAGAAGGCAAACTGCCCAAGTTATTCATGTGGTGAAAAACAAACCTAAATTCAAATCCACGCTGGCTCTCAGACTCTTACCCCCAGGTGCAGACAACGCTAAGCCAAAAACACGGCCTTCAAAGCTTCCGCCGCCCAATCAGAGGTGGATGACACGTTCACTTCTCTCGTCCACACAAGTCTTCTTCTCTGCCCACAGAGGAGCCATTCAACCCTTGGCACAGCTCCTTAACGTGCTAAGCGGGAAGGAACTGAACTGACGGGCCGCCAGCCCTCACCCCAGAGGAGCCAAGCACGGCAACTCGGGAAGTAAACTCCCAGAAGCGCGCGAGCGTGCAAAGCCAATCAGCGTCCCGCTTCCCAGCGTCCCCAGCCCCACGCAGTCAGCTCCACTAGCCCTGGGGCCGTGACGTCAGCACACGCCTCGGGGGGGCCCGCCCCGCCCCTCCTCCCCCTCGGGAGTCTTTCTGCGTTTGCGCGCCCAGAATAACCGGCGAATTGAGCTCTTAGCCCCGCCCCCTACCCCCGGAAGTTAATGCAAAAAAAAAAAATCACACCTTTTCCTCAGCCGGCTGGGGCGCAGCCATCTTAATTCATAGCTCGAGTGGGCGGTGGCGACTCGTGCGGGCGGTCCGGAGCCATCCCGGCGGAGACGCTGGCTCTCCTGGTTCTTCGGAGGGGGCTAGTTGGCGTTTAATTTTTCTCTTCTAGCTTCCCAGCGGCCGGGCGGTGCGCACGTTGCGGTCGTGGGAGGCCATGTCCGGAGACGGCGCTGCGGAGCAGGTGAGGGAGCGGAGCGGGCCTCGTGGCGACCTCTTCTTGCCGTGTCTGTGGTCCGCGGACGCCGGCCGTGGGCGCTGGAGGAAGGAGCTGGGGGCGGGGGCGTGTGGTGCTCCGGAGGCCGGGGTACCGAAGTCGGGAGTGGAGGGCCTGGCCGGGGACGGCGGGCTGGGGAAGCGGGCGCGGGAGGGACGTGAGGAACACGGCCGCCGAACAGGTTGTCTTCCCCGGGAGGCCCGGGCACCATTCGACGTACACAATGGCCGGGGCCGCCTGGTCCCTCTCCGCCTTCGCGGCGGGGCTGCGGGCCGGTCGCCTGATCGGTCCACTCCAGGCTTGGTGCTTGGTGATGGGGAATTAGTTCAACGTGTCATGGCCGTTTTCGAGAAAAACAGCACTTGGCCGTGTGTCTTCTCCCGGCCTGCCAGACACGCGCGCGCACGCTCGCACACACACACTCCACCCAGAAAGACAGCAGTTACCAGTCCGACACGAAACTTGAGGACACCAACGGCAGACAGCCAGTCTAGCGGGAATAAGCCGAGGCCTGGGGTCGGGGAGGATTTTCTGGTTCTTCTCTCGCTTTCTTTTTCCCCCCTTCTAGCAGCAGTTTTTTTTTTTTTTAATTTTTGTTTCTTTTGCTCGTTATGTTTTGCTCGTTTGTTTTTTAAGTTTTGGAGGGGATGATTGCTTTTTAGATGAGAGAGGCATCTGATTTTCGTAACTCAAAAGATAAAAGATGTCTTTAAAGGTGGTTTTCGATATAAATCGTTTTTAAAATGGAGTCTAGCTTTTGCCTGCAAAGTCTTGTTTTCCTGAAATTTCCTATTGCCATAGCAACGAAAATGCACTTCAGGTTTCTTTTTTTTTTCCCCCAAGTCTTCAGATGACGTGGAAACTGCTATTGGAAGTTGCTAGAATGAGGTGAGGTACCAGAGGACCGTTCTTGTTGTGTAGTGTGGGGTGTAACTAAGTTTCATTATGAGCAACATACTTTAGTTTTTTGCTTGAGGACTGGTTTTAGTCCTGAAGTTTTCTCAGTATTTACATTGTACTCAACTTTAGGATGCCCAGATATGCAAATTATAAGCTAGTATATCTAAACTTGACTCATACACACCTTTTTTTAAAATTTACTTTTCTTTTTTAGTGCCTGTACTGAGGTTTGAACTCAGAGCATCCGGGCTCTTGCTTAGCTTTTTCGCTCAAGGCCACACCACTTCCAGCTTTTTTTCTGGTTAGTTGGAGAAGAGGGTCTCCAATTAGTCTGCTTGAACTGGCTCTACCACTTGAGCTACACCTCCCCTTCTGATTTTTTTTTTTGGTAGTTAATGGGAGATAGGATATCAGTCTCCTGATTAGCTATGATTACTACCTGAGTGCTCCATGGGTGCCCTACCTACCTACCTGCCTACCGCCCCATAGCTATTATTTTGTCATTTGACAGTAAAGGAGTTGTTGGAGAGGGTTCATTGGACTTTCTGAAATTCGTTGTTAATTTTTAAATTTGTGTGTATTCTAAGGATGTAGAAATGTTATTACCTTGAGCTATTTTGTGTGTGTGCCTGTAGCAGGGCTTGAATTTGGACCCTCCAGCACTTTTTTTTAGCTGGCTAACACTTGAGCTGAGATCCAGCTTTTTACCAGTTAATTGGACATGAGAGGATTTATCTGCCTAGGATCCTCATAGCTCAAGTCTCCTGAGTAGCTACGCATGAGCTAACAACTTTTTTATTTAAAAAAAATACACTCACAAGCCGGGCTCCGATGGCTCAGGCCTGTAATCCTTCCTACTCTGGAGGCTGAGATCCGAGGATCATGGTTCAAAGCCAGCCCGGGCAGGAAAGTCTATGAGACTTATCTCCAATAAACCACTAGAAAACCGGAAGTGGTACTGTGACTCAAGTGTGCCTTGAGCTGAAGAGCACAGGGACAGTGCCCAAGCCCAGAGTTCAAGCCCCACGACCTACAAAACTTCAGGGTCTTTTGTTGCCTAGCCTCTAAACATTAGCCATCCCTGCAGCCCCTTTTTTATATTGGTTGTTATTGAAATAGACTTCTCATTGATTTTTAGGTTTTTGTTGTTGTTGATTTTGGTTTTTGCCAGTCCTGGGGTTTGAACTCAGCCTGGGCACTGTCCCCGAGCTTCTTTGGCTCAAGACCAGCACTCTTCCACTTGAGCCACAGCTCTACTTCTGGCTTTGTCCACTTAGGTGGTACTGAGGAATCGATCCCAGGGCTTCATGCATGCTAGGCAAGCACTCTACCACTAAGCTACTCCCAGCCCTTTGAATATAAGTTGTCTCCTCAGTTACATCCCTTCCCCCCCAGGGTATAGTCTGTCTGCAAAGTCTAGAGTATTTTTCCAGGTTTGTGTTATTTTTCCTTTGTTTTTGATTTAGGTGAAATTTTTACCGATGTTATTTAACATCCCTTTAAACACTTCATATATCTAGAAGTGTTTATAGTTAGGTCTTGATAATATTCAGGGTAAGTGTTTCTGTAGAATTTTAGAATATTACATCAAAAGCACTACTTGTTGTGTTATTTTACTATATTTAGTGATGGTTAAATTTGTTCATTGGTTAGGACGATGATTGCTAGGTCATTTTTGTGCAGTTAGTAATTGTATTGGCTTCTGTGTGTGTTCCTTAGTAACCTTTTTATCTAGTTATCAGTTGGTAAACTTTTGAGAAATTGGTTATTAATTGGATGTGGGAAATTTATTTTTAAAAATTGGATTGTTCTGTTTCTCCCCCGTTTTTTCCCTAAGAGATTATCCCTATAGATTCTCAGCTTGCCCAAAACTTTGTGGCTTTTTTCCCTTTTATCTAAAGCACTTTGTTATTGTTGGTAATATTGTTACTTTTTATTCTTACTTTTGCCAGTAGTGGGGGTTGAACATAGGAGTTTACACTCTTGCCTACTTGAACCACATCTCGCTTTTTGCCAGTTTAAGACCAGTTAATTGGATTTGTCTGCCAAGTTGGCTTGGTGCAAACCAAATCACATTCTAAGATCTTAGCCTCCTGAGTTGCCAGATTACAAGTGTGACCTACCAGTATCCAGCCTTAAGACATGTTTGTTGACTTTTTATTTTTTTGGTCATGGAGCATATATGCTGGGCTGGGTGCTGTCCCTGAGCTCTTCAGCTCAAAGCTATCACTCTACTGCTTGAGCCACAGCACCACTTCGGGCTTTTTCTGCTGATATGGTGCTGAGGAATCGAACTGAGGGCCCCATACATGCAAGGCAAGCACTCTATCACTGAGCCACCTTCCCAGTCTTTGTTGACATCTTATCAGGAAGTCTTCACATAAACTTTTTCCTTTTTCCCTTCCTCCTTTAATACTAGTATTTGAACTCAGGGCTTCTCAGTTGGTAGTCTGGCACTCTGCCACTTGAGCCCTTCCTTTTGCTAGTTATTTATATTTTTTTTGCTAGTTATTTTTGAGTTAGGGTCTCTTGAACTTTTCTGCCTGGGCTAACCTTGAACTTGGGATCCATCTACTCTGCTTTGAATAGCAAGGATTTACATGGCTGAGCTACTTAGTCCAGCTTCCCATTCAGATCTGCAAAAAAGGGATTGTATACTACATACTGTAGAGCTTCAGTTTATAGCCAGTCTTTTCTTCCTATCTTCACATGATTTGATTGTTTTGTAACTACTCTTAAGTTATATTGAAGAAATGTCATGTACTGCATTATTTAACTGAAGTAGTAATGACACCTTAAAAAGTGATAGGATTTTTGTGTGTGAGAGATATGATTTAATATATGAATCAACTGTTCTTTGAAAGGGGGTACTGGGGTTTGAAGTCAGGGCCTTACACTATTCCTTTATGTATAGGACAGTGAATAGTGAAAATCAGAAGGAAAGGAGTACCTAAAATGGCCTGAAATTACAAATGAGAAAAAAAACTAAATAAGGTCTGGGCATAGTGGCACTGGGCTACCAGTACTGGAGTGGGGATCATGAATTAGAGCCCAACCTGTACTACATAGTGAGTTAGGACAAAGAATAAGACTCTTTTTCTTTGAATTTAGGGCCTCCAGTTTGCTGGACTAATCCCCTACCACCATAGCCATGCGGCAGTCTGTTTTTGCTTGTTATTTTCAAGATAAGATCTTGCAAACTTTTCTTCCTAAGCTGTATTCTATTTTTTATTTTTTTTTTGTCTGTTGGCTTGAACTCTGGGCCTGTGCACTGTCACTGCGCTCTTCAGCTCAAAGCGAGCACTCTACTGCTTGAGCCACAGCTCCACTTCTGGTTTTCTAGTGGTTTATTGGAGATAAGAGTCTCACGGACTTTCTTGCCTGGACTGGCTTTGAACCATGATCCTCAGATCTCAGCCTCCTGAGTAGCTAGGATTATAGGCATGAGCCACCGGCCCCTGGCCCCAAGCTGTATTCTAATAACCATTCTGACTCTCTCAGCTTCCCAAATAGGTAGGATTACAGGTGAGAGCCAGATTTCCTGCTTGATACCAGGTCTTGAGGCTTCCCTTGGCTTTTTCCTTCTTGTCTGATGGTCTACTATTTTTGCCACACCTGGACTTCCAGCCTTTTGCTGATTCATTGGGGATTTGTCTGAGGATTTGTTTGCCACCGCTGAGTTCAACCCACCTAATCGGCCTCCAGAGTTGCTAGAATTAAAGGCATGACCTCCAGGTACCTGTCTCTAAATCTTCTTTTTTTTCCTTTCAAAAAAATCATTGATGGGCTGGGAAAGTGGCTCAGTGGTAGAGTGCTTGCCTTGTATGCATGAGGCCCTGGGTTCGATTCCTCAGCACCACATATGCAGAAAAAGCCGCAAGTGGTGCTGTGGCTCAAGTGGTAGAGCGCTAGCCTTGAGCTGAAGAACTGAGGGACAACACCCAGGCCCAGAGTTCAGGCCTCACAACCGGCAAAAAAAAAAAAAAAAGCATTGTTAATCATGGATTTGCTTTGGAAGGAGGACAAAGAATGGATGAATTGGTGGACAAAGAATGCTGCCAATATAT